TCTTGGTTGTTATAAGTTTAATTTATGTGTGTGTAGTCATTTTTCTATGCAAACATGTAAATTTTGTATTTTGTGTTGATGAGAACAATGTAAATTTGTAAACTTGGTTTTGAAAACAATGTAAATTTGGTATTTTGTGTTTACAAGATTTAAAATGATTTGATTCTTTCTGTATCAATATTTTGTAGTTTCTGTATAAAAAATGATACATGCCAATGAAAATGAAATTTAAAACAAGTTATATATGGCAATAGATAAGATTTAACCCCTCGATTATTAATTAAAGCTGACATAGCAACATAACTTATTACCTCAGATTTTAAATAAAATCGAGAGGTAAAGTGACGCGCGCTTCATAGTTTTGAAAATAAAAATATGTTGTTGCCATTGACCGAACTAATGGCCATTTCCATTATAACCTCTGTTTTTTCAAAACCGATGGGTAAAGTGACAAGTTTTCATGTCGCCCTTCATTACCTCGATAGTGTAACTGAGGTAAAAGCCATTTCACATGTGAGGTGAGATGTGTTATTTGTAGTAGTGCTTCCACCATTGATCTTCCTCTCATATTCGTATTCTCTCATGTTGTGATTTATGGTGAGAACCTAGTTTCTCTAAGAAACCACCTATAACCCACCGACTTCCTATCTCTTAAATGAAAATTGTCAGTACCTCTATTTATATTATTAGGATAGGTAGGCCCTCTAAGCGCACCACTTTGGCTTGCTTAGTTCGCCTACTTTCTTCTAGGTTAAGTAATGTCAGCTACCATAGGTGTAACCTTGTCGCTAATGCTCGCTAATCAAATCTCCTACATTCACTTAACTATCAAACCTTTGCTTCACCTTGAAGCAACGTAACCCTAAAGTTTTTAAACTGTGTTTTCTCACTAAGTGCGCTTGTGTTTCGTGGCTTAGAGAGGTTGTACCTTCGCCTGCTAAACACACCCGTATTCTTGTCTTAGAGAGCCTTGATTTATTGGAAATGTTCTTGGCTTTGTCTCTTGTGTTGCTTTGGTGATTCCTTAATCCTTTTTGCCTTTTTTTTCATAAATTTTCAGTTAAATGTCTAGTCAGAAGTTTTTATCACTTTTCACTGATAAATCATTAGTTTGATTTCTTTTAAAACAAGTTAATAAGTGCCTACATACTTAACATGTTTTTGGCACTTATCAGTTGGATTTCCCAAGTTTTTCATCATGGCGTTCTTCTGATCACATTCTTCGCGACTTCCTCTATCTCTTATATTTTTTAATATGTTTTAAAATTTTATATTTCGTAATATGTTTTAAAATTTCCAGGTAGTTTCCTTTGTGTTCATTAACCACAACATGACCCTCTATTTTATTATGTTGGTATTTATTGCCAGTAATGTTTGATTTTTATTCTTGGTGGGGGTCATCCTTTACTTGTGGTGGCACTGAAGTGTATTGATGGTGATATTGGCCCCACTTTCAGTAGTGTTGGTGCATTTCTTCCTCTTTAGACACATATTTTCATCGCGGGGTCTTTGCACAAAAATATTTACTAGAGACTGTATAAATTTTGGTGAGAAAGCAGTTTTTATAATGCATCCATTTGAACATGTATATAAGGAAGGCTTTCAATGGTATCCTCCTAGTGGGCTTATTGTCCCTACAAAATTAGAATTTTGGTGGATTGTGTTAATCATATTTATCTAACATGTCGCTTCATTTACTTTAGCCCTAACGACTTACGAAATTGATGATCGAAATTGTGAGTGTAACCCTCATGCTCAAATAAACTTTGGGAAATTCAGGGAATGGGTTGCGATATTCACCAATACTAATGATGCTCAAATAAAAGAATTTAATTAAATATAAATAACATTTTATTTAATTAAAAGAGTTTAATTAAATATAAATAAGTTTGAGCTTATATAAGAAAAGTAAAAAATAAGAGCATTGTGGTTTTAGAAACTCTTTATATAAATAGAGGAACTCTTTCCCTTACTAATTCTAATTTTCGTCATTTTTAGAAAACAAATAGTAGTGCATTCTACTTTGTACTACGTAGACTTCGTAGAGAATATGATAGTTTCAACGTTCATGATAAAAATTAAAGCATGCTTTAAGAGGTATTTTGATAATCTTAACTTATATTTTATTACTGATTTAATTAAGACCCGTTCATCAGGATTGTTCCATTAAAATGATTAATTTTTTGAAAACCACCTCTTAAATCCCCAACAATATATGCATATGGAACAAAACTCTAAGACCCGTTCTCCAAGCTTGCCAACACAAAAATACCAGGTCATAACTGAACTGTTATTCAATAAACTTTAGTCTCTTCAAGTATTGAGGCAAGGAAACAATTCCTCTTGAGGTCGCCCAGACCACCTGTCGGTGATGCCCATCATACATTATTTGTCGTTAGACGAATTCCCATAAGATAAGCTTGAGGCAAAAAAGATCAGAAAGTGAGCAAAAAATTATACCATGATGTCTAAAAATATTTACAAGATGGGAATATCCTCGCCCGTGCTGAGATATCTAGAGGAAAGAAAAATTGCTTTGGTCCTCAAGGAGGTCCATTAAGGAACATGTATTAGTCATATTGGCAGACTAACTCTTACTCAAAAGTTGTTCCATTCAGACTATTATTGGTCTGCTATGATAAAAGATATTGCATGATTTGTTAGAATATGTGACAATTCCAAAAACACATCAACTGGCATCACGCGCCAACCAAGATCCTTCACCCGTTCACGTCACCCTGGCTATTTTACCAATGGGACGTGGATATACTAATCCCTTTCCTGCTGGTGTAGGGCCAACTGAAGTTTCTAATCATTGAAGTAGATTACTTCATGAAATGGATAAATTTTGAAATGGTATCCAAAGTCACAACATAAAGGGTTCGCTGCTTCTACTGGCAGCGAATCATATGCATGTTCGATTCACCATGATTTATCATCTTGGACAAGTTGTCGTATCAGCTCAAATGGGAAAATACAACCTAATTGGGAAGGTTAGTATCGCGTATATCAAAAGTTACCTTATGGAGCTTACAAGTTTGATGAGCTAGATGGTGGACACATCCCTAAGACGTGGAACTCAGTTAACTTGAGATACTATTACAACTAGCAACTTACTGTATTTCTATTCAATAAGACGAGAGGCATTTAGCTTGCCAATGTATTAATTTTCTTAAAAATATTTCTGTTAACATCTTCCCATAAAGTGGAGAGCCTTCAAAGGAGACCCATCGTTAAAACTGACGAGCAATATAAAAGATGGATCTTCTCTGAAGAGTCCTTGCCACCTAAGAGGCAATATAAATAGTGGATTTTCTTTGAAGAGTCCTTGCCACCCAAAAGGCAATGTAAATGTAGAATCTTATATAAAGAGTCCTTGTCGTCCAAGAGGTAATATAAATGTTGGATCTTCTCTAAACAACCATTGTCTCCCCAAGAGGCAATATAAATGGTGGATATTCTCTAAATACTCCTTGTCTTCCAAGAGGCAATATAAATGCTAGAATTTCTCTTAAGAGTCCTTACCGCACAAGAGACAATTTAAATGTCGGATTTTCTTTGAAGAGTCCTTGTTGTCTAAGAGGCATTATGAATGCTAGATCAATACTAAAGGATTGTCAAGCTTCGCTAAGCCACTTACTATTGGCCGTCTTGCCAATACACCATGACATGGACCCTTTAATAAGCAATGGAACAATGGTATAATGCAAGTCTCGCATAAATGACTCAATCTAAAGTCTCGCTTAAGGGACTCAACCTAAAGTCTCATATGAGAGACTCAACCTAAAGTCTTGTCTGAGAGACTCAACATAAAGTCTTGCCTGATGAAATCAACCTAAAGTCTTTCCTGATGAAATCAATCTAAAATCTCATACGAGAGACTCAATGTAAAATCTCACTTGAGGGGCTCAATTTAAAGACTTAAAACACTTAAACTAAATCACTTCACCCTTTACAAAACCTCATGCTTAAGGAATTGTGTACTAAGATAAGTTTATCAAACCTAAAAGAAGAAGGCCTAGAGGAAGCAACACTACACTAACTGGAAATAAGGGAATACCATTAGCCATCTAAAGGAATCTCAAACAAGTACCAGTGTAACTCTTAGACCACCCATGATTTATTGTAAGTCGCCTAGACTAGACTGAGCTACTAAATGTGATTTTCACTACCTAATGAACATGGATAATGATGTGGCCTTATATGTCAATGTTATAGATCAGTCAGCCAATGATAAAAAACACGCCTCCATGATAATATGAGAGGAACTATTCCCACATATTCCACATTCCTAAAAATAATAAAAGTGTAACCATTTTTGGGTTAAAAATCCATACCCAAAGAAATCTCTATAAATATCTTAGTTTTATGATTGAAAGAGGAAGATCATTATCCACCTAAAAAGCACAACTACATAGCTCCTCATCATCCAATATAAGTTAGCTCAAATCACCATTAATATCCAATATAAATTAACTCAAATCACCATCATCAATCTTAAATATCATATACGACTCTCCATATACAAAGCTCCTATATCTTCACTTTTTATTTTTCATGTCTTTAATATTTGTGAAGTTAATTGATTTGACAAGAAAAATAATTTGATTTAAATTTTTTAAATTAAGGGGTACTTTATAAAATTCAATTGATTTTGGGAGTATAGTTTTAATTGAAGGTACGAAACTTAATTTTCGATATACAAAACAGAGTACGGCAAGCCCAACAATACGTGGCAAAGCAAAACCAATAATTTTACTGCAAAAAACGCGAACAAATATTTCCTCTAACAGAAAAGAAACTTAATCGAATCGAAATAGGAACTTTTGGTGGAAGTTTCCGTCGCGCAAACACCGCGTTAAGCAAAGCAAAACCCTAAATCAAAAGTCTCAGCGTTGTTTGGGTCATTCCTTTTTCTCTTCTCTCGTGCTATTTCTCATACAGACATAGGATTCAATTTCAAATTTCAGAAGTAAAAAGTTTTCTGATCAGAATAAACGATGAAGAGAGTCTTCGGCGCCAAAAAGAACAAAGAACCTCCTCCTTCCATTGAAGATGCCAACGAAAGGGTAACCTTCTTCTTTCCCTTATCGATTTCATTCAATCAGCGCTAGGTTTTGTTCGCACACTCACAGATCTGTTCAATTTCGGTTCTCTCTTCGGATTTTGAAGTTAATTATTCAATTATAACACTAGTACATTTCCCGATAATCTAAATATGAAGAACAAGTCCATATAGTTATATATTTGCATAATTGTAGATCGAAGCATGTTTCACAGGTTAGGTTTTTTAAATTTATTTTTTATTTTTTCTAATTTAGGTTTATTTAACTCATATTTCTGCTGGAGTAAAACTAATTATGTTTTTAAACTGTTGTTGTCTTCTTTAATTTAGTCATTTTACTTAATTTTGATTCTTTTGTTGCGGAACACTTGAGTGTATGGTGATTTCTGTTATCTATTTGGTGGAGTATAACTGTTGTATGTTTTGCAGATTACAAAACGAGGTGATAATGTGGATGAGAAGATTAAGAAGCTTGATGTTGAACTCAGTAGATACAAAGAACAGATCAAGAAAACAAGGCCTGGTCCTACTCTCGAAGGTATTAAAGCTAGAGCCATGCGAGTTCTTAAACAAAAGCGAATGTGAGTAGCTTGTTCTTTGTTTTCTTAGTTTTATTTTGTCGCTGTTGAGTTGATATGTTGTATTGATTAAGCCTCATAGATAAAAGGTGGGAACTTATTGTAGGGTTTGAGTATAATCTCCAAACAGTGAAATTGCTCTCACTCTCACTAAGATTACTTTGAGTTTTTACTTTAAATACACTCAACTGCTTCATGATGCAGCTAATAATTTTCCTTAACTCAAAATATTATACATGAAGTGAATATTGTTTTGTTGTTTTCATAAACCAATACATTATGCTTTTGATCAGGTATGAAGGTCAACGTGACATGTTGTACAATCAGACATTCAACCTCGATCAAGTTCAATTTGCTGCTGAGGGAATTAAGGATGCTCAACAAACTGTATGTATCCAAGAGCTTAGTTATCTTTGTGTTCCATGTATGGCATCTTTATTTGTGCCAACCTTTGAAGATGGTTTATTCCTAAAGAAGGCATATTTTATTATTTCCCCCCTATTTATGCAATCAAACAATTTATGGCATAACTTCGTCCCACCCTCTCTAATAGCAAGTGTTAGAAGACTTGATGTTTTTAAGCAGCGTGGTTTTAGAAAGGGAAAACTTAATCAATTTTCTGTTCATGATTTATTCGGAGGGTGAGCATTGGCAAAAGGGTGCTTCTTTGGTACCTGTGGTCACAGATGAGGAAAACAGCTTCCCCCGTTAATGGGATATGGCTTTCTTCATTTGATCTTTTCTAGACCCTTCAATGGGGAGCCTTGTGCGCCACTAGGGCTGGCAATAAACCGAACTAACTCGAAAATAGTTCGGAATTCGATTCGACAATTAAATCGTTGAACTAGGTTCATGAATTAAATGAGTTGAGTATGAGCGAAAAATTAAGTTCGTTAACTAAATGAGCTGAACTTGAACTATACATAGTTCGACTCGTTAGATTCATGAGTCAACTCGATTACATATGAGAAGAATTATACTGTCTTTAAGATTAGGTTTAAATATTTACTCCAAATCTTAGACAAATTTAATCTTCAATTTAGTAGTTTTTGAATTAGACTTTCAAATGTATCTCTTGAAAGTTGTGTAGGTTTTGAATTAATAGATTTTGAAGGTAAAGTTAAATTTCAATATGATAACTTTTATTTTATTTTAATATTTTATTTAAAAAAAATATATTTATTTAAAATGTCAAATATACTAAAAAATATATATATTTTAAAAAAATAGTTTTTAAGTCTGTGAATCATATGAGCTGAACCTAATGAGATGAACTTAACGAGTTGAACCAAACTGTTCGTGAACTTATAACGAGCCGAGTTTGAGCTTAAAAAAAAAGTTCGTGTCGAATTCGAACTCGAACCAATTCTTAACGAGTCGAGCCGAGCTGAGATGAGTTCGACTCGACTCATTTCCAGCCCTATGCGCCACCCTTTTGTTTTATTATGTATCATTTGGATTTTCATCCATTTTTAAGATTCAAATATTTCGATGTCTGTATGTATTTGTAAATTTCTATAAATTTGACAACGCCAATTGTATGCTATATGCTCTATTAAGTGAGGATGACTACCATATTCACTATAAAACATTCGTTTGTCTTGGTAGCACATTAAGGGGCATAGTTCGAGGTGGAGCTTTGTCTGTATCCTGTTTGGAACCTGCTGCCTACCTCACAAGAGGTAGGGGATGAATGGTTTGTAATTCGGGAGGGTTATCTTCATAACGATGTTATTCACTATGCATTATACTTCTGTTATAACAATCTTATATATATTTAGGTTTTCAGAAATTAAATGACCTGGAAGAATATTTTGCCTAGGAGATATATAATTTGAATACAGTTGCTCACAAATTTCTCTTTCTTTTCCTCCACCCCTCCCCCTTTTCAGATGTCAGCTTTGAAGTCTGCCAACAAGGATTTGAAGGGAATGATGAAAACTGTGAAGATCCAAGATATTGATGTCTGTATTGTTTCGTTTTCTTATAGCGTCTATCAAGTTATCATTGAGAATTTTAGGTCTTACTGTGAATTGAATTTGTAGAACTTGCAAGATGAGATGATGGACTTGATGGATGTTAGTAATGAAATCCAAGAGACTTTGGGTAGAAGCTATAATGTTCCTGATGACATAGATGAGGATGAACTTTTGGGTGGTAAGTAAAGGAATTGTTTACGCTTTTGAGATGTATGTTGGCCACCTTTTTGACAATCAGCTTTTGAGATTTTATTTTGTTTTGAATTCTAGTTCAGATGAAAAGACAGTGTTCTAAGTGAAATGTTATAAGTTGTTTCATTTGTGGGTTGGATGCATTGTAATTTACAATCCACGTTTACTTTTAGCGAATGATCACTCCTCTATGGTAGATGGTTCTCTTTTGGTGAAGAAGTATCTAAAATTATCTGTCTTGTTTATTTTGGAATACCAGAACTTGACGCTCTGGAAGCAGACATGGAAAATGAATCTGAAGGGGTTCCCTCCTACCTCCAACCTGATAAAGAATCTGATTTGGATTCAGAGCTTAACTTACCTTCAGCTCCAACTGGTCAAACAGCAGTGCCACATGGCAGATCCAATGTCCAAGTATAGTATTTTGTTTTTATTTATTTTATCTATATGAAATTACTTTTTCTTTTGTTGTTATTATAATTTATAGCCATACTTAAGACGAGTCTCTTTTTAAGGGGGAAATTCTTTCTTGATTCACATTACAAACTATATGATTTTACACTTAAAACATGTTTGTGTCTTTATAAAAATATTTTTGCTACATCTTGGTGGGAGTATGTATGTTGGTTACTGATGAACACTTTTCCTCTTGAGGGATTAACTTAGCTAGATGTTCTTGAATTTTTTTTTATTGAAATCTAAGTAAATGTGTAAGCTTTCAACTATGACCAATTTCAGAGCTTAAATAGACTCGGCTCCAAGGAGCAGAGTCTATTTAAGACTTGTTCAACATATTATCTGCCTTTTTCTTCGTTATAATGAAGAATCAGCTTATACTTTTGATGCCATTTTTGTAAAAATTGTATTCTCTCGTGGATCCTTGATTTTGCGTTTTGGTGGTGTAACTTGTAAAGATGTGCCTATGTTCCATTTACTTGATTATTATTCTAACAATTCTACTTTGTTATTAGCTGTCAATTTTTTGTGTAGCTACTCGGCCTTTTTTATATGGTCTACTATTTCTAGCTGATAAACTATTCTTGATGCTGTTTGTTAGAACTCAGAAGTCTATGTAGTAGTAAATTACTCTAATGTCGTATAGTTTTTATTTGGTCCTGATTGATTCCTTAATACTCACAGACTGAAGATGAACTGGGTTTACCTGCTGTTCCTCGGGCATCCCTACGCGGTTGAAGAATCCTTTTTATTTGATTGGTGTAGCAGGTGCATACACGAGCAAGACCCTGTAAAGTTGTGCAGAACTTGATAACATTGATTTATACAGTAATTTCATTGCCATTATTTGTACGAAAGCACAATGACACGGGAAAATGGAAAAAATATAATACGGTGTTTGGCATAAACTTAGAAATCGGCAGTTAATAGTTATGGTCAGTAAAATGTGTACACTTTCGTAATACCAATTTTATTGTGTGAATCGTTAATTTTTTTTCCCGAGTTATTAATTAATTTAATATATTTTCTAAACCACGACAGTTTCTGTATGTCTAGTAGATGGTTTAGTAATGTTTTTTTTTTCTTTCTAAACCACGACAGTTATTAATTAATTACCTTTGAAGTTTTGTTGGTACACACAATGGAGATTTGTTGCATTTGTATATCTACAAGTGGAGTAAGCTTGTGAATACCACTTATTAGTACACACAATGGAGATTTGTTGCATTTGTATATCTACAAGTGGAGTAAGCTTGTGAATACCAATTATTAGTTTATTGTTGTGACTAGCTATTTTTGGGTTAGAGAGACAAATTTCTAAGCCAAGTTGGCTTAAAATTTTCCAAAATTGTTCAATTTTTTGTATGGTTTTTTGGGACGAGGGTTTTCAATTAAGTTATTAGTTGAAAATGTTGTTTTATTATCATGCTTTGCTCGAACAAATAAATAATTAAGTTAAAAGAGGAATGATCCTCTAATATTTCTCTCTTACTATAACTTTTCCGTTTAATGTTACACTATTTCATTCATATTTTCAAAATCTATTGTTTTTGAGAAAAATATAAATATTAAGAACTAACTATTAATTATTTGCCTCTTTAATTTTAGTTAGATGGAACAACATTTTATTATGAATTAGGCTTAAGTGAATTGGTCATAAGTTTGATTTTCGAGTTACTTTTAGTCTCCATTGATTATTTAAATACTACACTCGTTCTATCGTGGAAAAGAAGTTAATATTTTTTAAGGCATGATCTGCATACAACGCATTTAAACATTGTTTAAATATGTAGCAAGCAACCAGAACCATACGATATAAACTTAGCTTAAATATACAATTGAGGTTAAAAAAATGACAGATACATTTATAACCTACACCAGCTATTGACTTGAAAAACATCATGAGGCATACATAATGCATATACACTTAAACTACCATGACCACAAAGCAACTACCCTCAAGTTGACATTTTATTCCCCTCCTCTATATTTGCACCTTGCAACTTATATTCAATTCACTCACGCAATTAATATAGCTCTCTCTTTAACCATCATCACAGCCTTTTCCTAGTTCTTACAGACATAAAAAACCATGAACAGCACTTACAATTCTGATTACAACCCTTCAGAGAACTCAAATATGTTAACATATTATTATCTTGGAATGTCTTTTGGTTTTATTTTTCTAATGATGTTCATAGCTCTAGTTTCATGTTACTGTAAGGACAGAAACTGGCAAAACTGGTTTCAATCTAGTGGCAGGAATTCCAACAGAACAGTGATCTCGACGGAGAGAGATCATACCGAGTTGAATATTGAAATTTCTGAGGAGGAACAAGATGTTATCCTGAATAGGTATCCCATTTTGTTGTATTCACAAGTCAAACTTCATAAAGCTGATTCAACATCACTCACTTGCTCAATATGTTTGGGAGATTATAAAGATTCAGAGTGGTTGCGACTCTTATCTGATTGCGGTCACTTTTTTCATAAGGAGTGTGTTGCTACGTGGTTTAGGCTAAACCATTCGTGTCCCATGTGTCGGAGCTCGCCACTTCCAACACCCATTGCTCAAGTTACACCCTTGTCAACTACTCATGATTGAGTAGTGCAAACTCTTTAAATTGTTAGAACTTTAGAAGTCTCATCTATGATTATAATGCTATTTTATATATGGGTTGCTCGAATTTAGTTAAGTCTGAACTTTGAGGCTTGCAAGTACCATGACTTGTGACATTCTCTTCTCTCTAACATTTTTCACGTGTACTTGAATTTTTAAAAAATATTCGGGTTTTCTAGGATTTAAACGTATTTTTAGTGTTGGAATTCTAAAATTTAAGTACGGCAAACTAGTAAACATCAAACATTAATCAACATAAACATTCTATAAAAAATATATTTTATAAAATATATTCAAGGACAACAATGTAAATATAAACTAATTGTTGGAATTCAATTACAATCTATAAAGAATTTTACTCAATCTTAATCTCAAAATTGTTGTCACGCAATGACAATGAATAAGGTTTAGAAAGAAAGAAAGAAAGAAAGTAATATTGAAAAAGAAGATGAAAAGTTCTGCAAAGTTTCTCTCTGCCAGCAAACTGTGAAAATTCTCTTATTCACTTGCAACTGCAAATTATGTGCATACAAAGTATGAATTGCGTTGTCTACAAAATAAATGTTACTCCCTATTTATAGATTTAGGTTAGCTTGCACCCCAAGCCAAAATTCAAAACTATATAAATCCAAAATAGCTAACATTACTAAAACAGGCCTAAGTCGAAATCCTGTGTGAGGCAACCTGCTTCGACACTTTGACACACTAATGCAACTCGACACACACATACACATTAAGCTAATTTGACTAGACCTTATTTCTATCGAGCTACACTACTTCAGCACAAGGAATTACAAACTCAACACACCACCTAATTCATTATGTCTAAGCTATTTATATTCATCATAACTCTTAGTTTTCTGAACACTTCGACCTGCAATCCTTTCAACATGATATCTGCAATCTGATTTTTAGTTCTGCAGTGTGGAAAATTCATCTTCCCTTATGCTACATGCTCTCGAAGATAATGGAACCTCATTTCGATGTGCTTGCTTCGACCATGTGATATTGAATTCTTTTTCAAGTTGATAGTTGACATGCTGTCGATCTTCATGGTAATTGCTCCATTACTCTTCGATGTAATCTCTTCGACCAGGTTTACCATCCATGTTGTTTGACACACACAAAGTGAAGCAACTATGTATTCTGCTTCACATGATGACAGTGCCACTACTCACTCCTTTCTCGAATTTCAAGCAACTGGTGCACCACCTAACATAAACACTTAGTCAACTATGGATTTTCTATCCTCAACATCACTACACTAACTTGAATCAGTGTATCTCACTATCTTGCATTCTTTTCCTTCATCAACTACAGGAAAAAAATGTCATAGTCGAGAGTACCTTTCAGATACCTCAGTACCTTTCTGCATGAATCTACTTACCATACCCACACAGTATGTTAAATCAGGCCTTATGTGAAAAAGGTATTGAAGTGACCCAATAAGTCTTCTAGATTGGGTTGGGTCGAGATCCTCTTCATCTGAGTAAGTCTCTTTGGAACCCATATTTGTTTTTTTATACATCTTGGTGTTTTGAAGATTAAGTGATTCTGAAAGTAAGTCTACTATGAGTTCTTACAAACTTGTTACATTCATTATCCTGAGTATCAGTTATTTTAATATTGATTATGTCAAATCAATGTTTTAATGATAACTCTTGGAAATGTTATCTAGCAGTCTGACCTATTAAGATTCTTTTAACAGTAGTAAGTACTATATTTAACTTGTTAACTGTTGCGACTGGTCATTACTTCATTAATGTGATTATCAGAAAATCTAATGGGTAAATAAAGTGTTTGTATGATTGTATAATATTTACTAGTCAAAATAATTTTTTCATTAATCGAGTTTAAATGATTACAAATAACATAAGGATCTGGTTTGAACTAAGATTAAACTCTATCTATGTCATCCAGTACCTTGTAGCAGAAGTTGTTTCCATAATCGTAATCTGGCTCATCTTCATCAATGTTCTCCTCTTCTGCTTCTAGGACAAAACGACAGTGAAACATCTCGTTGAGCCTCTTCCTCTTTGTCTTTTTCATGGATATCTTTTGTGACTTCAAAGCTGCTACTCATTTGAAGTACTGTTGACGAAGTCTCATTTGAAGTGTTAAGGGAGGAAGGTATAGAACTAGTAGCAGAAGCTTCTGAAGCTGTTGGCTTCTGAAGGTTCTGAATATTTAAGCTTGTAGAGTTCTGTGTAACCTCTGTTACAACAGAAATTGTGTTGCTCTCAGCTGAAGATCCATAATATTTTGGATGATGTTGATGAAAATAAACTAGATTTTGATTTTTTTAATAATAAGTTCTGGGTAATTTAAACGTCTGGATAAAATCCTTTACTTGATTCTTGAAATTGTTATGACCAATAGGTATTCAATATGCACATTACATACCTTAATGGCCCTTATTACTTGATAGTTTTTCATTTCTTGGAAGCTGATCTTGTAATGATGGCATGTTATGCATTGATGACTGTAATTCTCTTTCTTTTTCTCTCTTTTTTTTATTCTTTTTGATGTGACAAAAGGGGGAGAAATGATAGTAAGTATTTAATTAGAAATTGAACCCATTGAACTTATTCAGTCTGTACATAATGGTCATTTATAATTTTGTTATTTAAATTTATGTTATTTTAGTTATCTTGTCCGGACGACACATTTTAACTTTCTTGTACATAGAACTAAGGAGGAGCTTACAAACCTCTACCTTAGCCTATCATACTCAGAAGAAGCGTACAAACCTTGTATTCTGTTGATGTCAAAGGAAGTTAAAATATTATTTTTGTTTTTCTTAAATATTGAACTAAGGGGGAGCTTACAAACCTTAATCTTGGAACTATTTGACTCAAGGGGAGCTTACAAACCTCAATCTTGGAACTATTTGACTCAGGGGGAGCTTACAAATCTCAGACTCTGATGTTACTAAAAAAACATAATTACTTTTTCTTGAAAGTAGTACTTAGAGTGGGTTACAGAAATCAAATTTGGACTATTAGACTCATGGGGGAGCTTAAAAACCTCATGTTGCAAGAAAAACTATAACTGCCTAACATTGTTCTTTAAATACTTACTTTTTTCGTCATAAAAAAAGGGTAGATTGTTAGAAAAA